AGAGGGGGAGAGGCGAAATTTGACCGTTTCCACATTCCTTTGAGTTCAAAATTTGTGCATATCATATTTACAAGGTGGATTTTTGACCTTCGCGGTCGATTTTCTCAGTTGATATTGGTCGTTGGAAGCTGAAATTTGGCGAGGATGTAGGAAAATTATTATCCTGCAGCATACCAAAAGCTTGATTTTGTAGGACCGGCGTAAGGTGGAAAAATTCGGCGTTGAAGTTGACCAGTTGGCCGGCCGAGATCGATCGGCTGCCAGCCTTTAACCCTTTTCTCTTCACTCTGGAGAAGGTCGAAATCTAACCCTCCCAAAACACACTAAAACAGCATTAAAATCGAAAATAACCCCTCCAAAAATGTTCATAAACTATTGAACCATCTTAATTGAAGTTTTTTGATATTTCAAGAATGAAAAGATACGGTTTCCAAACGATATTTTGACTACATGTGAAAATCCGTTAAGTTTGTCGCCACAGGTAGCCCATCTCCCGTAACTCCTCAGAGACTGGTAAGCCTGTGCATGAACTTGCATCCCTTGTTGAACATTTCTGACATTTTTGGACTGTAAATTACACTTTCGTCAGGATTTAGAAGTAGCAAATGATGAAAAATTACACTGAGATAGTACATTGTCATCTAAAACACTGTAAGTAAGAACTAAAATAATCCAATTTGCACATATATTTTCATAAAAAATATTTGCTGTAAAACCTAAAAATGTACTTTTTGTGTGTCCTTTTTGCTGTAGTTTGATTGGTTAACCACACACAATCCCGTAATGTGATTGGTTGCCCTTTACTTGTTTTGCATTGTGATTGGCTCCTCAAAAGAGTGCGATTAAGAATTAAAAATGGTGCGATATGATTTAGGCTGAAATCAACCTGCTAAGAACCAATCAGATTGCAGGATTCACTTGTGATTTCAAAATGGATATAATTAGATTTTTAATTCTATTATAACTTAAGCTCATATTTGTCATGTTTTTACTAATGTTTCTTTTTCTGAATCTTGAAGACCTCGAAAGGTTCCATATTTTATAACTTTTTAATTTGTTTACGGTTTATATTACATTTTTCCAGCGTGTTTTCTTTTCCTTTTTTTAAGAAAARTAATTTATRCTTGACTTTCATTTTTACCTCGAGGAACTCACGAATGTTTTCCGAAAGCTCTCGAAGTCTATCCGAATGAAAATGGGTAGGGAGGGATAGACAAGCTACCTGGAGCACACGTCGGTCCACGGCGAGTGAAATGCTTAATGTTCATTTTCTCGTCATGTAATAAATATTTCATACTGAATATCGTGAGGTAGTTAGACAATCTGACGATGTGTTGTTATTTGAAAGAAAATCGTCGTTTTCTGTTGTTTTTCGTTGAAAAAGAAGCAAAATTATATTTGTCACGTGACCAGTGTTTCATACCTTGTCACAGACTAGTTTGTATCCCGCGAGGCGCCGGGTCGTGACGTAAGTAACCCGCAGCGCGCGCCGATTCGATAACATGCCCGCGAGGGAGGCAAGGGATCAATGACGTAATACCACAGGAAACCCGCATCGCGCGCCAATGCGATGCGATAATATAAGCGTGCGCATTCATTCTTTTCTCAAGCAATAGTTGGGTAGCCTATGGTTCAGTGGTTGACGCGCTGTCCCTTCATCTAGCGCATTGCATGATGGGGTATATTGTAGCAACGCAGACGACGGRAAATAATATTTTGGTTAAAGAAATTCCTTGACGTGCAGCATCGATCACAAAGATGGAGAAATTGAATGATGAATCTATCACTGA